CCCCCGGCTCCGGGACCGCGCCGGGACCGCCCCTGCCCGGCCCACTCCTCCCGGCTCCGGGACCGCGCCGGGACCGCCCCGCTCCGCCCGGCCCGCCCCGCTCCGCTCCGCGCGGCTCCGGGACCTGCCCGGCCCCTCCGCTCCGCGCGGCACCCCCCGCGGCCGGGCCGTGACGGCTCCGTGCGGGACCGGTCACCGAGCGGGGCGGTCGCTGCCCCGGCACAGCGTTCCGGCCGCAGGTGCCCGTGTGGCGGTCCCGTGTGGCGGTCCCGTGTGGGCCATCCCGTGTGGGCCAACACGCGGTGGCGCGGCTGGTGAGCCCTCAGTCGCTGCCTGATGGAGGATCCGCACATGCCGGTGCTCGGCCGCATCCTCGCCGCAGCGACGCGTTTTGTGTCGTGCCTTGCTGGTTTTGTGTATTCCTTTTACAGAAATAAACAGGTGCCGCTGCCGCTCAGCCCTGCAGGAAGCGCAGCTGGCTTGCCTGGCCGGCTTTTCGCTTTCAGGTCTGCGCCGGGTGGGGTTTGTTTCCACGGGCACAGGCCCAGGCTCAGGGCGATGGTTTTGCACCCTTGCGAGGTCCTGTGAGGCCGAGACGGCTTTGGAGCTGTTAACATCCAGCTCCGTGTCTGACACGTGCACACGGATGTGTGTGACTAGTACATCACGCACTGCTTCTGTGTTTTGAGATAAATAGATCTCAAGAGTCTGGAATTACTTGTTTTAACTGATATCTAGGTTATCTGCAAAGCAAAGTGCTTTTAAACAGGTACTCTCCTTTAGGTTATGTGGAAAATCAAGATGCTTATAAAAATAAGATTGACCAATTAAATACATTGACAGAGCACATTTTGTCGTTCTGTTCTTTCTACCAAAGATCAGCTAAATTCCATCCTTGTCATTTCAGGTTATAAAACCGTGACATGAAACTGTTTTATGGCAAAGAGAGTTAAATTGTCCTGTAGGTAGTTGTGCAGGAGGAGAGCAACCTGATTATCTCTGAGCCAGCACAGCCAACCAGGCCAGCTTGGCCTGAGTTGCCACTGAACTCAGTCTGTTTTTGGGTGGCTCCATGATTATTCCTTTGCAGGTCTGGATATATTTTTTGGTGGTCCGTGGTTGTATTCCAGCCAGGAGCAGAGGTTTGAGTACTCAGTCAGGCTGCACCAAAGGCTTTCTGTTCCTGCAGCCCTGAATGAAGCAGGACATTGCATCCTTGGATATTGATCAGCCAGGACAGAGAAGGTGTTAAAGAGACAATAAGACATCACTCTGTGTATGCTTTCATGCTAATTATATTTTCAGAGCTGAGAAAAACACTTAGGTTTGTTAGGAGGAAGCATTGTTAGAGATGTCAGTCTTTAATATCTATAATTCATTGTATCCTATCATTTTAATGGAAAACTGAAGGTGCTATTTCTGTGAAGATAATTATAAATCAGCTATTTCATCATCCTTGCTAGAGATCATTGCAAACATTTTTCTGTTAGCTGTTATTGTTGCTGCTTGTCATCACAAACCTTTAACTGCATTTAAAATGGAGAACTCCTCAAACAAAACCCACAAATTGTCACATTATATTGTTGGGCTTACATGAGGGATCTGTGATGAGCTCTCTCACATTGTGAAAGCTGTAAGTAGTGGTTTGAGTGTTAAAATATTTGCTTTACTTTGATTAATCCCCAGACTCCATTGGGGTTAGCACCTCTTTCATGCAAAGGTAAAACAGGAAAAACAAAATGGGTTTGAGTCAATTCCAATTTGTATCTGGCTGTATTTGAGAGTGGTTCATCAGAGAAGAGTGTGCTAGAAACACTCTGTAGCAGTCTCTTACCTGGAACTACTCTAGCAGTACCTAGAAAACAGTACTAAAACCTGGGAGAAAACCCCCAAAACTGGCCTTGGTCACAGTTTCCTGTTCTCTCTGCTCCACAGGGGAAGTGAAATTTCACCTCCACCAAGCCGAGCTGCAGAGCCCTGGGTGCAGGGGAAGGTTGTTGGCAATTTCCACATTGGATTTGGGGGGGAGGGCTGGGTTGGTTCAAAGCAGCTGCTGGAGACTTGAAGTTTAAAAGGAAATTAATTAAGTTCTGACCATCTAAATAATTGTCTACAGTGATCTCAGATTAAACAAAAAAACCACAAGGGAGATGCTAAAATCTGTTCCCCACTCTCCTGCGGCACTGGAGAAGGAGCGGAGGGCGGGGGCTCCAAGAAAGTTCAGAAACTCTGTGAGGACACAGTGAATTTTCTGAATTCTCTGCAGTAGCAAGCAATCATTCCCACTGGGGATATAGAACAATCACCAGAATTGCTCATGAAAACCAAGATGACTTGAGTTACGGCTTGGTGGGCACATTCTTTATGCTGTGTTCCAAGAGAAATTTTCCAGCAAATTTCAACATTTTGTATTTACATTGCAGGCATGATGTTTGATGTGGTAACACTCCTTTTGTGGTACAGACTTTCCCTGTTATATTTTGGTTAAGAGAATGTTTAAGTATCTGTAGTTCTTGATATAATTTTATGGCCTGCTGATTTTACAGCTGAGTCAGCTGGAATGGGCTGAATTCTTTCAGACAACAAAAATAGTGATATATTGTAACTTCTTTTTAAAGAGAGCTATTTGTTAAATATTTAAAGATCACCTTTTATAATAAATATAAAATATATCATAAATATAATATACAATATATGCATATATATAATATAGAAAAAATATAATATATGCAAAAAACTACTTATTTGGGGGGTTTTTGGTTGTTTTTTTTTTTTTAAGTAATAAAACCATGTTCCCACACTCAGCATTACCTGACACAGCCCCATAGATTTGATGCATGTTCTTACTCATGCACATTAAATCATACATTCTCTGTGACTCTTGAAAGCAAGCTGCTCTTGTACCAATCTTAGAATATTTTTAATATTTTGAGCTTTCCTTCTTGAGGAGAGTACCTGAGTGTTTATGTTTACAGGAGAGACAACATTTTGTCCTCCCTGTGGGTGGGGTGTGGAGCTATTAACCCCACAGGGCTGACACGAATGGATGGATGGGTGTTTTGAAGGCCATCACCAGTGAAGAGATATTCCTGCTGTACAGGAATTCCTGCTGGCAGCCTCTCTTTGCCATGTTTGTTGTGTGAGCAGGAATTGGGGAGCAGCACATGGACAGAGATGCTCTTTAGGGTGATGGTGAGGTTTAATTGGGAAGCCCCACGTGGGATTTTCCTTATGTCCTCTCCTCCACCCTCAACCCTTTGTCCCCCTGAGCTGCAGTGGTCCCAGCCCTTGGAGGACTCCTGGAATCTCAGAAAGTCACTTAGATGAATCTAACATCACTGATGTCACTTAGACCTAATCTAGCAGAAATTTTGCCTCTGCCTGGTGTCCTTTTTCTGTAGTAGCACAGGTGGCAGCAGAACCATTGGGTTATAAGGAAATCACTGACAAATAAACAGGGATGAATTCAGTGCCCAAAACTTCTCAAGCCAAGGATTTGTACTGAGTACTCCTTCTAAGCCTGCAGAGCCTACCCTTGCAATGAGGAAAATTGAAAATGTCTCCCTCTTGGTGACTCCCAGCAGTGAAATGGTTTCTGTTCTGCAGCTGCTCAGCAAAGTGTGTGACTTTGTCACGTGTGACGTGCTCCTCACCCTGCGTGGGTGCCGCCTTTGTTATCAGCCAAGTTCCTGAACAAGCTCGGAAGAACAAAAAAATTGTATTCATGAAGTTTTCCAAGTTAGGCCTTTTGAATGTTAGAAACCATCAGCTATCTCCAGTTCCTTTCAGATGACTCAGTTGTGGAGACTGGCCTCTTTGTCGTTTGAAATGCTATATTCATGTACACAGCTTAATCATCTTCTGAGCGAATGAAGTGCAAATCCTCCTCTGCTTGGCTTCTGCAGGCTTTTATCAACCTTAGTCACCCATCCTCTTCTCCTTGTCTGAGCTCTGTACAGGATGAAAGGCAGTCATTGCAGGGGCTTTATCTCACAGGGTGTGAGGACACACACACCACTCCAGAGCCGTGCCAATTACAGAACTGATTTCTTAAACCCAGCTGGAAATCAGTCTCAGACACCAGAGTGGCTGATGAGACCAAACTCCTCGGTTTATTTGGCCAATCCTCCCAGCCAGCCCCCTTGTTTTGGGTGTCTGTGCACCCCTGAGCTCCTTGGGGACCTGCACCACCTTGGCTGGAGCTGCACCTTCAGGAGTGCACCTCGGGGAGTTTTTGGGTACCTTTAGCAGCATTTGCACCCCCCAGGATTCCTGCGTGGCGTTTCCAGTGCAGCCAGTCCCACAGAGCAGCAGGGTGCACGTGAACTGGGGCTTACCAGCTGGCCTGAGGCTGCATGTCCATGAAATACTGCACAAAGTGCTAAAGACTCAGTAAAGAAACACCTGGAAATCTGCAGGGTCTGATGGGTCTTTATTCTTTATATCAGACATCCTAAAATCTGGGCTTTCATTCTCCTCATGTCTGTTTGGGGTCCCCAGTGCTGTCACAATAGCTGGATTTTTTGATGGTAATTTTCCCTGGTAGAGATTGCTGAGGGAGCTCAAGTTTTAAAATATTTGGGCCTTTAAAAATTATGATGCTGCATATCAGTTAGGTAGGGGAATGGTAGGGAAAAAGACCCACAAAAGGATTTAATTTCATTATTTTGTTTTACTTAATATACATTTTTCATTTTTTGTTTTGTCAGGCTTTGATAGGATGAAGTCATAGTACAAAGTAATTAGTTTAATTTGAATTTACATAAAAGTTCATCATCACTTTAGGAGAACAGAAGGAATAAAACCTCAGTCAAGTTTCAATATAATATTGAGCTGTGACTTTGGGAGTTGTAGTAGCAGAAAACTCCAGGCATGTCTAAAAATGATTAATTACAGTGAAGAAAACAAATGGAGATTGTATTGCCCAGTGATCAGAATTATAATAACTCCAGGCTTCTGCCAGTCGAAAACAATTTGTGTCTTGCACC